ACTAGCAAACTTATAAGGCTTATAAGGAAATAAGCAATTGGACAAATGACAATTTCAAAATATCAATATTACTCACAGTGATCGGTTGGTTGGTTTGCCCTGGAGCTCGACCCTACACATTTCATGAACACAAAAGGGTCACAAATAATTCAATCCATTCTAAATTCACATTTTCCTCTTTAGGCTTCATTCTTATCTCTTTAACTCAATTACAATGCTCAATGCATGCCTAAGAGTACTTGGAAGTGAAAGAGAACAGAAAATGAAATACAGAATGTGTTTACAAAATTTCAGAAAACAGGGTCCCCGCTAGAGCGTTGACTTCCCCACTCGAGCGGACCCTTGAGGCCTGCAAAAGTACTGGATATGTCAAATTTACGCTCGATCACGAACTCTAGCGCTCGAGCGGAAGGCCTCACTACATGGCTCCCCGCTCGAGCATGAAATTACCCTGCTCAAGCGGACACCATATCTGCAAAAAGTGCTGGATGCATCAAAATTACGCTTGAGCGTGAGATCTGGCGCTCGAGTTGAAGGTCTGTCTAAATAGTTCCCCGCTCGAGCGTGCACTTACCCGCTCGAGCGGACATCCAAGTCTGCAAAAATACTGGGAGCACGAAATTCACGCTCGAGCTGCAGTTTCCCCGCTCTAGCGGACATCAAATTTTCTGGGTTTTCCAGAACGTGTTCTTAAGTTCCAATTCGACATTCATCCAACATTTCTTGCATGCAATAGCTCAAACTTCAAATATACTTGTACTAACATGGTATAAATCCCAAATTACAACCCAATGAAGCTCAATCTCATGAATCAAACACATGAATGTCTCAATTTAACTCAAACTCATCACCAACACATTAAATTCAAACATGCAAGACTCAAACTCCCATGATTTGCACTTGCATGTAAAGTATACACAATATCCTCAACTAAATTGGTGAAGAGATGATCAAATACATGGTCATTAATCAAAACTCAACATGGATTATACATATTGTGCCCAAACATGGAAATTCATGGCAATTTCTTACATACATGTGTTCTAAGACTTTAAATTTAACAAATACAACTCAATTTCCTTAGAATCAAACTAATTCATATTCTTGACCATTAATCAGACTTGAATTCACAATTCACAACATTAAACTCATGAATTCACTTACCTAGAGGCTCAATTCTTTCAATCTATGGCAAAATCTTAAGTTTAATCCTCTAATTCTCCAAACCTTGAGCCAAGATTACACAATTCTCTCCCTCTCTCTCTCTCTATAGCCGGCCCTCTCTCTATTTTTGAGTTCAAATTAGCCAAATGAAGTTATAAGGAGAGAATAGAGTGTGTAGTGCCTTATTACAACAAACCCCACTAATTCCAATTTAATAATAATAAATAATTGGGCACTAATTTATCAATTAAATCAATTAATTCTGGTCTGAATCAATTTCCAATTAAATTTTACCTTAGGCTCTAAAAATTACGCTAATCACAATGGCGCAATCAATTTCGGGTTCTATGGCCGATAAGGCCTTCGATTTAATTTCCACAGCAGATAATTGAACAGATATTCCTACGGTGAACAGGCAGAAATTCAAAACCACATATTTTCACATAATGGCACACAAAATCATATTAAACACATAATCATACTCTTATTAAGGACCAATTAACATATTACGGAACAGGGATATCACACTTGCATTCTTGGGTTAAATCATATTCTTGCAAGTGCTTGGGAGGAAAAAGAGGAAGTTAAGATATTGCCATGGATGGAAAAGAAATTTTGGATTCTCACCTTTTTTTTTGTGATGTCCAAGCATTATGCACAAGTATATATATATATATAACTAATTGGCATGAGATTCTTTATTCTTAAAATTTCTATCTTCTATCACCAATATGATACGAAATCTTAAAATATAATATTCTTGAAAGTCAACACATAAACATACAACTAGAAGTGCATTTGAAATAGGAGAACGAGATTTTAAGATTAGAAATGTTGTGTATAAAAGCAAACACCAAAATAATCTAGAATTTAAATATATAACATATATTTACACTTAATGGTGTGGATCACACTCAAATTAAATTAAATTTTCACATTTTAAAATTCTTGACACTTTATAAAATATTTTAATGAATACATAACATTGCTATTTTAGATAGAGAAACCCTAGCCTAGCCTAGCTCAACCTCACCCGCTGCTACCAAATAAAAAAGAAATATATTTATTGAATATATATATACATATATATAAATTGGAAGACCAAATCTCATGTAAAAGGCATGGAGATTTTGTTGACTCATTATCTATCTACCCTATTTGTTCTCAAGCTCGCTCAACTACTGTGCTCAAATTGATTCTCATGAAACACAATATTATAATTAGAGCAGTGTAAAATATAATCTAATTTGTTAAAATTGTACTAATTTGCATCGATCTATCTACTAACCATGGATTGTACTTTGAAATTTATTTACTTATAAATTCTGATTTTCTTTTTTTTTTTAAATTTATTTTCCCTTCGTTTTAAATGATATTTTTTAAAGATCTTTTAGATGTATGTTTTGTGTTTGTGAAATGATCATTTGTTATTAGTAATGATACTGAAAAATTTATCGAAGTGATAAATGATTGGAATATTTTAATTTTTGTTTGTGAATTTCGATTTATTTTTAATTTATTTTTGTTAGTTTGTACTAAATACGATGCGGAAAGTGTAAGTAGTTGAATTGTATTTTTTAAAGAAATTTTTATAATGATAAATTTATCATAGAAATTATTTGTGACATCATCTCAAAAAAGTTGACTATCGGAATATAAAAAATTATTTAAATATAGCTACTAACAAAGTAAAAACTAAATAATATATTTTTTTAAAACACATTTATCGTTATTTTTTTTAGAGGCAAACACAATAAAATGAAAAAATTAAGATTATCGGATAAATTTATATTTTTTTTTATAAATGAACACAATGTTTTATAAAATGAATGGTCTTGAACAACACCTCTAATCCAAATTTTAGACCCGAAGCAAGCCCAATCTTTATTTTATTGTGTTTTTATACAGAGATTTTCAAATAATTTGTAAAGGTGTTTTTATAGTGAAATTTTGTAAATTACTAAATACTAAAAATACCAAAATTATTTTTAAAATAAATATTTTTTGTTGAAACAAATAAAACATTAATCATTAATTTACTATTCGAGTGTTCCAAATTCATTTTTTCAAAACCAACAAAACTATGACATCGTTGTTCCACTATTAGATGAACCTTCATAGTGTCCTCCAAATATTTAAATTTTATGAAACTGCTCAATCAAAAATAATTCAGCAAATCAACATAATCTAATATAAGATTTGGAGCCACAATCAAACAATCACTACAACAAAAAAGGTCTATGGTGACAAAAACACACGACGAAAAAATATTTCGTCACCAAATATATATGTTTTAGTGATGAAAATAAGATTTCGTCTCCAATTGTACTATTTTTAGAGACAAAAACCAAATTTCGTCACCAAATGTTTAAAATTAAATAAAACAATAGGTGAGGAAATTTTAATTCGTCTCTAACTATTATTTTTCGTCACAAAATAATTTCCCGCCCTTGAAAAATTTGGCAAAAGATTTGGCACCATTTTGGAGACAATTTTTCATCACCATTATAAAAATATTTAGAGAGGAAATAATTTCGTCTCCGAATATATTATTTTTAGAGAAGAAAACTAAATTCTGTCACCAAATGCTTCTAATCAATAAAAAAATAAAACTGAACCAAGAGATAGATATCTCTCTCTTCAGATGCATCTATTTTACTTTCTATATATCTGTCACTCCCTCACCCATCTATCTCCTTCACACCGTCCATCCATCTTTGTCGCACTGGCTAACCAGCACGTTGCTTGTCTACGCTCACTACAATAGGTATCTCTCTCTCTCTCTCTCTCTCTCCCTCCCTGTTTTTGCCTTACTCTTTCTCCCACTGCCCTCTTCTTGCTTTTTCCGACCTCTGTCTCCCATCTTCTCTATGTTGCTATCACCCTTCTCGTCTCTCATTTTCGTAACTCGTTTTCCCCCAATTTGAACCCTAATTTGTTGGATGCTTTGCTGCCTGCAACCTCCTCACTTGGTTTTTCTCTAACCCTAACTTGGTTGCTGTCTTTCTCTCTCTCTAGTTGTCCCCAATTTCTAACCCTAAATTTTTTCGTAAATGTAAGTTCCTGTGTAGAAATTAATTAGTGATAGTTACTGATGATGTAGTTGATGATGATGTAGTTCTAATTTGGGGTGGAGGCGATGGGCTAGCGGCAGTAGTGGCGGCGATCGGCGAGCGGTGGCGACAACTAAGGTATATTTTTCTCTTCTATTTTTTTCTTCTCTTCTCTTCTTCTTTTCTTATTCTTCATAGAAACACTATTGTACTTTTGATTATTAGACTGAGTTGCTTATGGTCATTGACATTTTCCGACTCAAAGTTGCCACAAGATGAAGGTAAGAAGATTTCCTCACTTTATATTGATAGTTATTTCTGTTTGGGTGCCAAGAAAATGTAGGAAAAGTCAATCAAACTATAGAAATTTTGAGTATTGGTGTTTCATTATATGGGTTCAGTTAAAATGAGCCTGTCTTTGGCTTTTTGGGTTAGTTTAGTTTGATTTTGGCGAAAAATCAAAGAAATAGCAAACAAAGAAATTTTCCCTAACTGTTCTACTTTTTGACCATTGAATTGCACAACTGACTATTTATTTTTCCCATTATAGAATCCATTACCTTAAAACAGAGGGTTAGCATTGGTGTGATATCACCATACAATGCTTAGGTTATTGCAATTCAAGAGAAACTTGGAACAACATACAGTACAGATGCAAAGAGTGACTTCTTTGTGAGTATTCGCTCAGTTGATGGGTTTCAAGGCAGTGAGGAGGATGCGATAATTATTTCAACTGTCAGAAATAATGGGAATGGGGCTATAGGTCAAAGAGTCAATGTGGCTCCCCACTAGAGCAAGGTATTCTTGTGTGTGCCAAAAAATACCATGTTTGAGTCTATTTAGTTTATTGTTCACGGTGTTACAAGTAAAAGGCATTATTGCTTCCTTTTTATAGGTATTGCCTTTGGATAGTGGGCAATGGTTCAACTTTAAGAAATAGTGGGTCAGTTTGGAAGAAACAGATCATTGATGCCAAGAACACACACAGATACACAGTAAGAAAACTAAAAAATGAGAGAAAATACACACTAATTGTAACTCGATCTTGTAAGATTTTTTTATTTATTTTTGTTTTATTAGCTACCTCCATTGCATAAGAATTTCACCAAAAACACAATTTGAAGTCTTTCTTTCCCATCTATTTCAGTCAACTAGAACATTGTTGAAGATGCATAAAAATTCTAATGATTTGACAATGTAGTGGCTTTTAGAGTCTAAAATAAAATGTGTACAAAGGTCTACAACTTGATGAAAAACATCCCTATGTTATAAAACAATTTCCCCACCCATTGCACTGTTTTTGTTTCCTTTTTCCATTCTTCTGCAAACCTTAAGTTGATAAACTTTTAAACTTGGAACAAATAGTCTCTCACTAGGATATATAGTAAAATTCTAGTTCAGGTCTAAGTTCTGATCTTTACATTGAAATTATGTTATTTTAACACAGTTTCAATCCCATTTCCCCACCCATTGCACTGCTTTTGTTTCCTTTTTCTATTCTTCTGCAAACCTTAAGTTGATAAACTTTTAAACTTGGAACAAATAGTCTCTCACTAGGATATATAGTAAAATTCTAGTTCAGGTCTAAGTTCTGATGTTTACATTGAAATGATGTTATTTTAACACAGTTTCTATCCCTTTTTTCAATTTCTCATTTTCCTTCCTTTCTTTGTGTAGACACCCCATTTTTGACTGACCTCAAGACTTGGACGTCATCATTTGTGCACTCGATGATTGTGCTTGTTTATGCTTGTTTTGAGCGCCCGAAGTTCTCGGCGGAATGCCTTGTCTTTGAGCCTCTAAACCCATTTTGTTTTGTGCTTGTTTTTGGGCCAAACCTTGTTGCCTCTTGCCTGGAAGGGGAAGGGGCCTTGTCGGCCACTTTTTGTTCTTGTCGACCACTTGAAGTGGCCGGTCGGCTACTTAGAGTGGCCGACGGCCATTTGTCTCATTTTTCAGATATTTGTTTGCCAATTGTGCCAGCTGTTGCTCACTTAAGTGCATCTCCATACACGTGTATGGCGAGATGAATACAAGCTCTAAGTTTGTTTTTTTTCTATATATAGGGGATGCTCTCCCCCATTTGGAGAGGTGGGACATTTTGGGTCAAAATTTCCTCTCTCTCTCTCTCTCTCAAGAATTCTCCCTCTCTCTCTTCTTATTTTGTGCCTTATAGTTAGATTTCTCTACACTTTACACAAGGACCCTTAACCAAACATTCTCACCTTGGAGCTGAGGTTCTTTGAGGTTTAGTTTGAGCTCTTAAAGGAGGTTTAAGCTGGAATTTGTGCCTGTTTTGTGTTGTTTGGAGAGGTGGGACATTTTGGATCAAAATTTCCTCTCTCTCTCTCTCTCTCTCAAGAATTCTCCCTCTCTCTCTTCTTATTTTGTGCCTTATAGTTAGATTTCTCTACACTTTACACAAGGACCCTTAACCAAACATTCTCACCTTGGAGCTGAGGTTCTTTGAGGTTTAGTTTGAGCTCTTAAAGGAGGTTTAAGCTGGAATTTGTGCCTGTTTTGTGTTGTTCTTCAAGGGGTATAAGACTTACCTTGTAGGCTTTGTTTTGATTACTTGTTTTGCCATCTTTTTGTACTATTTTTGGCCTGGTTTTCAACTACAAAAAAATCTGATTTTTGAGCCTTACCATGATGGTTTGAGGTCATTTTGTGTAAAGGGGTAGTCTACCATTCTTGTTGCCTAATTGTGAAGCTTTCAAATCAAACTTTTTGGGCCTTTAAACCATTGAAATTTAGAGTTATTTCAGTGGTGGAAAACATGTTTTGAAGTCCAAAAATGGAGGGGTTAGCCTCCTCTCCTTGTGTCTCACTTGCATGCCTAGTTAACATCACATGGTAGCATGTTTTTGTAGCCTAACTTGGCTTATTTCCAGCATATGTTTGCCTCTGATTTGGAATAATTTAGCTCTATTTTGGGCTGCTTTGGTCATATGAGTCTTGTTTTGCATAGTTGTAGTGCAAATGGCTTCACTAGTTTGGTGTTTTAGGCCTTTAAAGATGATTTGCTTGAGTTGGTTGCATGCTGTAGTGTCTTTTTACATGTAATTTCAGCATATATAGATGTGTCACATGCTCATTTGTTTCACTCTTTCTTTGCTTTTTTAGAGTTGCTCTTGAGTCTTGTTTGCAAGCTAACATGTGAACATGTTTTTCTAGCACTTTGTACCTTAATCTCAGCATGATTTAGTCATTGTTTTGACTAGTTTTAGCTCTGTTTTGAGCTGGTTTGGCCCTTTAAGGCTTGTATTGTGTGGTTGTAGTGCAATCTCTTTCACTAGCTTAATGTTTTAGGCTTTTAAACATGAACTGCATGAGTTGCTTGCATGATTTAGTGTCATTTTCACTCCATTTCAGCATTGAAATCTCTACAATCTCCCTTCATTCTTCACTCTTCCATTTATTTTTGAAAGTGACTTTGAACCCCTTGTTGGCTTAAGTATGAAATTGAGACACGTATGCTTAATGGTTTTAATCCTCTTTTGAGGGTTTGTACTAACCAATGGCATGAGAACTCTTTCATGCTCAAGGCACTTGTGGTTTAAGCCTACTTTCAATTAGAGGACACTCATTTTTGGATTAATCAATTAAGGAATGGATTGGTAATATGAAATGAGTAAACAAAATGAACAAAGTAAAAAAGGCAAGATTAAGCAACTTTGTATTGCATTGCATGTGTTCGGATCGGACGTTAATCCGAACACGAGAAAAATGGGATGTTTCATACTCAAAGTGATGAATCGTGCCACTTTTCTTGGTCACCGTCACCCTTGATCATGCATGATAGGGTGGTGGTTATTTTGGTCTTGTTTGTGCACTCATTAAGCTTGTACAAACTTGGCTCTCTAGCCATCATGCATTGAAAATGCTTGATTGATGGTTGGAAGGCCAAGAGTCACCCTCCTTTGAGTTTGTGCGATGATAAGGAGGGTAGCAGTACATACATTTCTTGAAAATACATTGCTTTGCCTTTGTTTGCTCACTGTTGCAGCAAAAGGAGAAGTCTAAGGAAGGAGTGGCCTACTGGCCAGTTGTAATAGCCGACAGCCACTTTTTGTAGCTGACCGGCCACCAGCGAATTTTTGCACAAATGTGCTCCTGAGTTGGAGCAGAGGCATTCTGGGAGTTGGTACAATTTTCAGAGATCAAACGAATGCAAACAGCGATGGCAAGGTAATGGCATTTTCGAGTGGGTCAACCGAGCATGCATGCATCCCTCGCCCTCGAGGCCATTTAGTCACTTTTTTTAACTTAGACTAAGTTAGCTATTTCATTCGTACAAGTGTTGTAATTAATTAGCTTAATTCGTTTTGTAATATTTTATCTATCTTAGAATAGTTAGTTAATTTATTTCAATTGTGTTGTAAGAATTAACTAAAATAGTTAATTAGTTTTGTGTTGTAATAGTTAGCTTAATTAGTGTCGATAGCTTAGCTTATTCATTCGGACCCTCCTTCGCGAGGGCATAATGTTGTAATAAGTGCGCGTGCGTGTGTGTATGTCTTCTAACCCCACGTCTTTTTCCCTTTTATTTAATCGCTTTTGATGGTTAGACTAGGAACATTTTCAATTAGCATACCTTATGCTTACATGTTGGCATCCATTCATTTGTCTTGCATGCACTGAGGCTCGGTGCATCATTCAAACTGCATTGTTAATTCAATACTTCTTTGAATACATGTTTCAAAACATGCTATCAAAGTGTTGCAAATGTCATATTAGTAGTCGAGCCTATTAATTTCATATTGCATGTGTTGTATTAGGCATCTTATATAGTTAGGATCACGCATTGTTTCTAACTAGTTTTTGTTTTGACTTGGAGTACTCAGTGAGTTTTATGATTTAGCATACTTGCATGATTGTGATTGTCATATTGTCATGTTTCGCATGCTTGCCATGAGGCTATTTGCTTCAATGCTAAACTGCATGAATGCCTGTGGATGAAGGCTTTGTTGCTTGAATTGGAACAGTTCAATGAATGTGAGTTTTAAGCCTACTTTGCGAAGTGGCAAATCATGTTTTAAGCCCATCATGTTTGGTAGCAAATCCGCATTTTAGCCAACTTAAGGGTGGCAATTTCGAACCATTTTCAAAAGAAAACATAAATTGAAATTTTCCAA